CTCCTTGTGGGACCTTTGGAATCCTCTGGCTACTGGGGCACTTCTGCGTGGCCAGAGGAGACTGCAGAGGACAAAGTGAGTGAGAGCACAAGCTTGGCATTGATCCTCAGCTGGCTCTGAGAGAGGCAGCAGGGTTTCAACATTTTTGTCACCAGGAGTGTCTTTCTTTCCAGCTCTACACGCCCCCCCACCTCCTCAGTGCACACATCATTAAGCAGGTCTGGGATGGCTGGATATCCTTTTCACTCCACCCCTGCTGCATGTCTGTAGCTGCCACAGAAAACATGGGGGTCTTGCCTGCACAGCTATTTTGCAAATATGATTACTTTACTTGGATGACCGCCTGGGAGTGGAACAGTACTGCAATCCCGTTCCACATCTGTTTGGCAGCATCTAGCCTGGTTTTCTTAGCAAATAAAGTCTATGATGTGATGAAGATGCCTTGATTGTTCTGTATTCCTCTGTTCCCCCGGCAACTTTTGAGTCTTGGCCATTTTCAAAGTATTACAATCAAAGATATTAACTTTTTAGTTGTTTTCTGAAAGTCGACGGGTAGCTGTAAACATTGCCATTGGGCTCACACTGAGGAAAAGGCTGCAGCATAAGCACAAAATATAATTTCATAACATGCTAGAGAACTTAGGGCAGAGGGAGAAAGAGAAGTTAGGAATACCTTAATTGGAGGAAGTTCCTTGGTTGGATTGTGTACCTAAATAGACATCAGAGAATCCAATCACAAAACTCAAGTCCGTTGGAACTCAGTTTCATCAGTTCTGCTACTTATTTGCTCAAAGCACTTTAATCATCCATCGCAGTAGTCCTTATCTCGTGGGAGCAAGGGTCAGGTCAACCATGACAGTGTCAAGGAGAGGGTAATGTTACTGGGCATTCCTTCCATTTCCTAAAAGTCTGGTGCATGCAGTTTGGCAGCATGAGCTGTGCAGATTGCACATTTTCCTTATGTTACAACACGCGTTCTTTTTCTCTTTGTGTCATCAGATAGACCTCTTGACACACTAACCTCATCACAGATAAATGCTTTTAAAGTTACTCCTTCTCCTTGGGCTTTCCTGATTCATACTCACTGCCATAAGAAAATTACCTGATCTGCCTCCCTTTCTTATCCCTAATTCCAGGAGGCACCAGTGCCAGAGGAGAGCATTCCTATGGCCTTGCATCACGCTAACTGGCAGTGAACCAGTCAGCCTCTCTTATCTCTAACCAGTAACTAATGACCAAGTGTGGCCAACTAGTTGTGTCAATTAGAGAAGGGAGGGGAATCTCCCTGTAGCCGGAAAAGTCTGGCCAGGAGGTTGGGTTGATCCTCTTTGCAAAATTCAGCTAATTGCCCAGGGCATAATCCTTGAACGAGTTCATTCCTTTGGGATGATCCTGAATGATTCTCCTCTTAACTCTGTTGAGAGCCTATCTAAAAGGGACAGCATGGACCACATATTCACAATTTCAGCTGCCTCCTAGTCCCAGCCTTCATTAAAGATTGTATTGGCTCCAATACAAAGGAATAGCTGCAGGATCTTCTGAGCACCAGGGTGAAGAGCACAAGGTGTTCTTGTTTCACAGGGACAGAGACAGAATAAATGATGCTCATCCTATGTTTTATTGCCTTTTTTTCTAAAACATGGTCCTGACAGTACGGCTTTGAGTGTACCCTGATGGAGCCAGATGTGTAGGGTTTGCGTAGCACTGATTAAAGGGAAGTGACTGAGCAATGTTCCCGGGCACATGAGACATTTTTTTGAGTCTTCGTACTTCTTGAGTTTCCTCTCACTCTATTGGTATGGTGGGTATTTGCCCAAGACTTTCCCCAGAGTCCAGCTTGGGCTAAAGGTCAGGCCAGCTGCTGAGGAGTTTGACTTGTCAAAGAATGAAGACATTAGAGACCATTAGAAGACATTAGAGTTCTTGAGAACGTCAAACAAAATGGTTAATTACATCACAGGAAAATGACTGAGCAAATAAGCTTCTTCACAAGCACTACAGATGTTACACATCTGTCAACAAGCCACATTTGCTGATTGAAAAGTATTTCCTTTTTGGCACGGTGAAGCAATCTCAGCGCTTCTTTACCTCTTTCTGCAGTGAGTTTCTGCTTCCCCGATGCATCATTATTTCATTGTTACGAGCTGCTCAACACTCAGCTCGGCCTTTAAGAGCAAGATACCTTAGCAGCTTCTCTGCTGAATTAATGCTGAATCATGTGATAACTCACATCAAGACCAGCCAGTGGCAAATGGGAATGACTTTTGCCTAGTTGGAGTATAATAAACCAGATTGCTCTGAAAAGAAACTGTATCAGCACAGGGAGGCGGTGGTAGCTCCAGGAGAACATGGGCACATTTTCTAGTTGATTTTATGAGTCCTGAACAGATTAAATTCCAGATCCCACAAACACCTGTCCTCCAGATTTTGAACATGACTGTTCTACTAAAAAGACGGAAGCTTTTCCAAGTTCCAAGTTCACAAGAGCATAGCTTTACTTGAAGGTAGCTTGTTCTTTTTAAAAGGCCTTCTTGATTATTTGTTACGAAATCTCCCACTGGAGACAAAAAAGACTGGGAAGCAGCTTTCCAGAGGTTTGAGAAAGCAAAGGAAAGGAAGCTGATTTCAGCTCCTGTTGCTGGAGTTGATAGTTTGAACCCACAGGACAGAAGGCCCATTGAAGAGTTTCTCACCGTGTGGGGAGTTTGTCACTGCTGTTTTACCAACTGCCAAAGCAATGTCATTATTGATACTGCTACATATGTCATTTAGTTCAGACTACTCCTGGGCATTAATTCCTCCTAAGAGATTTGGATAAGACGAAAGCAGTTACTCTAATGAAATATGCTCTGTTAATGCAGAGTTCCGTGTGATGCAAGGTATCGGCCACTCTAACTGAGAAATCCTTTTCCTCCATGAGACAGGCCCTCAACATACCATCCACAGCAATTTTCTAAGAGCCCAGCCGCTGCTGCCCTCCATGAATTGCTAAAAAAGGGGTAAAATGCAGGTCAGCCCCATTTGTTCTTCTATACCTTATCTGCTTGAAGTGACAACTGGAGCCAGAAATGAAAAGGCGGCCACCTCTAAGCCACCATTGACGTCAGCGCAACGAGGACTTCACGCAACAAGTGACGCCTTCCCCCTGAAATCCAAGACGACTGAGTTCAGAACCAGGCTGCTACTGAGCTGGTGCTTTCCAAAGCAGAAAGCCTGTTGGCACAGAACATTGCCACAAGAAGAAAAATAAACTGATAGCACAGGGAAGATTTTCCCCCATAAACAAAAGCCACCACATAATGCCATCTCTTATAAACATCCACAAGCCAGGAAATGTCAGTTTATATAGGGGCAGGGGATGGGGGGAACCTGAAATACGGGGAGAAAACAGTCAGAAAACAGTTCACAGAGACTATATTCCTTCCATTTTAAAGCTAGTCCACGTCTTTATGATCCCTTGGCATCTGGCACACCTGGCATATCACTTCAGGTTCTACTCTGAATATTTTTGTACTGCAGAAACAGGATTCTCAGCATGACAATGTCATTTTTCCCTTGGCACCCTGTAAGGAAATTTCACAATAATAGGCAGGGTTGTAGCTGCATTTTGGTGTAGTGGAGCAAGGACCAGCCCCCAGGCCAGCGTTTGATAGCTGGTGCTTACCTACTGGGCTAGAACCCCTAGTTCTTTCAGGAAACTCATGAGCAAGGCAGAAGGAATTACAGCTGGGTAAGAAATAGGTATTTGCTCCCTATCAGACCAAGCACAACGAGAGGCAGGCACTTCTGAGAGAAATACAAACCCCACTGCTCTGAGATCTTCCCCTCCTGGTTACTTTAGTGCTTCCTGCAGGGTGGCAAGAGCAAGAAGTAGTTGAGTGTCCCATGGCTTAGAGATGTGATGGACCTGGAGCCACAGAGTCTGCACTGGCAATGCCCAAATCAGTGAGTTCACAACCAGCTCCAAGAGGAGAAAAGTCAGCTTATTACCAGCAAGGCAGTCAAATTGGTCAGCGTGCAGGGCAATACCTGACCGACTAATTGTCAACACAAAGTTATCTCTGTTCTCAGCTTCCCTCTTCCCAGAAATATTTTGCAATTATGCAGACTGTTGATTTACAAGCTTGCAGACACTGCACTAATAAATCAGTCTGTTGTCATCTCCCCCTGCCCGAGTTAAAAGAAATGAGGTGTCTATTGTCTAATATCAAATTGGTTCTTTTGCTGCCCGGACCAAAGAAAAAACATTAACATAATTATTACATCTTTGAAAAGATGTTAGGGGGAAAAATTTAATCACTCTTCACTGTCCCAGAAAGCACAACAGCAGTCCAAACAAAAGCTGGGTGACTGAAATAAAGCAATGCATGATCTCCAACAACTGGGAAGGAAGGGTGGGCTGGCTGTGGCACCTCCAGACTGCACCTGCAGCTCAGAGCCATCCCTGGATCCTCTGGCAGACTTTAAGCCTTGACATCTTGACAGCCAGCTGGAGAGGGACCCTACCATCACTGCTTTGCATAACATTTGCTTTTCAGCTAACAACTAAATTCACAGTTAAGTTACTGGCTGCTTGGCAGAAAAACCCAGGTGATAAAAGAAAACATTAACTTATCCCTCGATGCAGAAGACAAAAGATTTTAAGCCTCAGTGTCCACTAGCATCTTTCAGTCTTATGAACTCCAAGAAAACTTGGGCTGGGCTCAATTTAACCTCCAAATTGTGGTGTCTAAAGGACAGTCAAGTTCCTACATGAGTTCCCACCGCTGGCTGCGTTCCCGGTATGCGGGGCAGGCTGAGCAGGCACCCCTGGCCAGATGTGGGGGGTCAGGGAGAGTGGGGGGGGCACGGACCCCAACCCCGCAGCTGGCGGGCGGGGATGAAGGCGAGCAGTGGCCGCCGGGGGGTGTGCGGGGAGGAGAGACAGATGCGTGACGGCGTGTGATTCACGTTTCTCCTGCCCTCCAGCTCCCGGCGGCAGATAAAAGCACCGGGCGACAATGGGGAGGCACAGCCGGTTCCCCCGCAGCCAGCACCAGCCATGAGCCCGCACCGCCGCCTCCCCATCCTCCTCCTCCTCCTCCTGGCCGCCGCTCTCTGCCGGGGTAAGTGGGGCCGGGGGTCGGATCGGGTGGGTGGGGGGGCTGCTGGGGGGTCCGTTCCCGGGGCTCAGCCGCCTCCTGCCGCCCCGCAGGCGCGCCGCTGGCCGGGGAGCTGCGCTGCCGCTGCCCGCGGGCCGTGTCCCAGCTGATCCCGCCGCGCCGCCTGGCCCGGGTGGAGCTCGTCGCCGAGGGGCCGCACTGCGCCGTGCCCGAGGTCATGTAAGTGCCCGCACCCGCTCCCCGTCCCTGCCCCGGGGTCCCGGGGTCCCGGTGTCCCGGTCTCACCCCCTCCTCGCCCCGCAGCGCCACGACCAAGCAGGGACAGACCATCTGCCTGAGCCCCTCCGCACCCTGGGTCAAGCTCATCCTCACCAGGATCCTCAAGAGGTACCGCCGCGTGCCGTGCGGGGACGGGATGTGGGACACGCAGGGGACACTAACGCAGCCCCTTCTGAAAGCCACCCTTAGCTTTGGGCTGGGGTTGAGACTGGGACTGGTGTCGCAGCAAGAACAAGCCACCTTCTGCCATTGACTTCTTGGGGGAACTTTGTTTTGTTACGCCGCAAATGAGCCCAAGAAGTGGCTTCTTTGTTGGGAGGAGGGAACTCTGCAGGTCAGGTAGAGTACCCACAGCACATGCCTGATTAGATGCAAATCTAGCCACAGTACCAGGCTGGTGTTGCCCACCATCACCATCAGGCATCTTTTCCAGAAGACACAACTCCTGTGGCACTTGTTACCTGGGCCATGCGGTGAGTCTTAAGGAAAGATTTCCTGAGTGGCTTTGTAATTTGAATTCTGCCTGTTGCAGTTCACACAACCAGCTCTGAGGGAAGACACAGCTCCAGATGAGGCTACCCACGTTTGCCAGAAGATACCAGGAAATGGAGGCTGGAAGAAGATAATAGCCCAACCGCCTAGTTCTAGACCAACTCTTCTATGTTCAACTTCCCTAAGACTCTCCCCTCCCATTTATTCCTTCGTATGTATTTATTGACTGAGCTAAAATGACTGAATGGGCTTTGCTAGGTTCCTCTCGGCGACCTGCCTGCAGTTGTCACAACTTGAGTAGCCCCCACTTTGTGCAAGCTCCTTCTCTCCAAATACAATTTGCCAACAAGTTCTGATAAGTGGCATTAATATCTGGAAAAAAGGTGGGTCCATCATGGAGAGTGTTGCCTGCAGATAGCCCACCATCCCAAGGTTTGGGTGGGTGGTGTTGCTGACAGTGGGTAATCCATCCGTTAGGAATAATGGGATCACGGAGTCGGAGTGCTCTCCGTGTGCTGAGTATCTTGGTGCCCGGTCAGGACGACAGGGGAATAAAAGGTGGTTGAAGCAAGCACAGTACTGTGCTGCCATCCTCAACCTGCTGCCTCAGGTGCCTAAATGAGCCTAAATTCACTAAATCCCTTATTTCCCCACTATAATTTACCAGCATTTGCTGTAGGATGCCTGGGATCTGGTTTGCACAAAGTACTGTACAATGAAAGCACAGAAAGCTCGCTCCTAAAGCCTCACTCTGTTTAATAGTTAGGACAGTTTAAGAATTTCCATGAAATTACAGGGTTTCATGCTGAGATTGTTTTGGTTTCTAACAAGTTAATGTTGGGGTTGGTTGGTTGGTTGGTTTGTTTTGACATGAGTTTACATTTAATTATTTGGTATTTATGCACAAGATGTAAAGGAACAGTAAATGTTCGGAAGAGGTTTGGATATTTTATGTCTACTTGTATGACATACTGTCATAATTCATACAGAATAAGTAATTTTCCTTATTCTGCTTTGGAAAAATATATTTATGTAAGAAGGTGGATTTATCATGAAATAGTAATGTAATTAAATATAACATAATAAAAGCAATTTCTTGTTGAAAAATATACTGTGTGGGGTTTTTTGCTGGTTTGGAAGGAGAAACAGTTCACAGTTCACAATAGCAAATCTGTTTCCAGAAAAAAAAAAATATGTTCCTGTCCCAGGTGTAACAAGGAGCCCTGACACCTTTCAAAGAAAAAATCTCCACCTCTGGATTCTTTTTTAAGCACACATTTCTAGGGCAAACAATATCCTCTATCACTAGGTACATAATACTTATTTAGTGACAGGAAAATCAAATGCTGTTTGCTCATGAAATTCAGTAGAACCTTATCTGAAGGTATAACATACCCTGGCCTTGTTCCTCATTTCTTCCTCTTTACCTACCAAGTAACTGGATGTTACTTTTTTGAGCTGTGGACATAAGGCAAAATCTTACTGAATTTGGAAAACTTCTTGATATATAAAACAGATTTTCTCTTCGTAATGCTGGAAGTCCAATATTTAGGCTGTTTTGGTTCACTCAGAAAAGGAGAAAATAGTATTCTTTTTTTTTTTCTAGTGATACCATCTACCTACTGTTGCTCTTGAAGGGAAAAAGTCTTACTATATTAAAAACCTTTCTAGGGAAAAGGATTTGTTTTGCCTGACTTATCCATCAGATGAGATGAGTGCAGAAATTTAGAGTAGTAAAGGGCTAAAAAGATGTCTGCATCCGAGAAGAAACAATGAATCCAATTATGCAACTTTGCAAATATTAAAGAGCGAAGAAATTAGGGGAGAGTGTAAGCTGGACAAAGCTACATGCCAAAAAGCAACGGGGAATGGGCAGGGTTACTTACATATATGTATACATTTAAATAAATAAAATGTCTATCAAAGGGTGGAATTTACAATATGACAACCATATAGATATATATACACACACATGCACAGGTCTCCTTAGATCAACTGCATATTATGAAATCACAAAATGACTCAAATGATAGATATTCTATACCCAACTGGCTATTCCACTGGGTCATAATGGGAACTACCTGGAAGTTGAAGGTATTTGAATGACTGGTGTTACTGGTTCAGCCTTATGGTGAAATCTGGCCGAAAGGAAAACCAGCAGTTTCCAAATGACTGCGATAGTATTTGTCAGACAAAAATATTCAGGGTTTCCCCCCACAATGCACATTACTAAGTAAGGTGAAGTGATTATTTACTGTCTTCCATGAGAACATTTTCCTTCTCAAAATTTATGCTAAAAGACTGGTTCCTCCACTGATTACAAAAATGCAAGAATTAGTGTCACAGAAGTGTTCAGATAGATCAGAGAAAGCAAAACCATGTGCCTCCACGTTATTTACAGAGGACTGAGGTCAAACTCCATGCAAATTAACATATGGGCCAAAGCTGTGGGGATATTTTGCAGGAAATGTTAGCAGCTTCTCAGCAAGACCTACACACAGGTATATGTACAACAGTTCTTTTAGCCCGGTCCTCACAGTAACCAATGACACTTTTCTACTGTCAACTATTCACTTCACAAAAATCCTCAAGTTTTCTACTGTTTTGTGAAATAACCTCCGTTGTCAAAACAACTTCAGGACTGTAGAGCAGCAAGCTTTACTGCTTTTGAAAGCAAATGCTTTTCTAAACACATACTTTAGAAAAAACAGTCTTACTTCCACTTTTAATAATCCAGAATACTGTGACTAGACACTTCTTCACATTTTTACCTATTTTTCTCAGTCATTTCCTAAAATTACCAACATTTTAGCCATTTAATGAAATGAGCAATTTCATAATATGCAAATACACACACAAACCCACAAATCTCAGTTCATTTTGTGAGCTACCACTCACGCGCATAACAACATATAACAGTTCTGTATCATCCACTGGATGGAATTCAGTGCCTCAGGTTCAGGGATCCTTTCTGAATACAATATTTTAGGTATATGAACATCACCAGCAATTCTCTACAAGAGAAGGCAGGGCTGGGCTGGAAAGCAGCCTGCAGAGAGCACATCTGGTCACAGGCCAGGGGACAGTGCCCAGCAGTGCAGCAAACATGCATTTTTTTTACTAGAATCCTGAATTTTCCTCTCAGGAGAGACACCTAGAAAGAAGTGGGAAGAAGAGATCTGGAAAAAAGAGATGTATTCAATAGGGTTAAATGAAAAAGCGTAATAAGAGACAGCTTCTTTGTGCTTGCAAATCTGAAGGGACTTGCAAGAAGCAATTAAATTGTCCTTGCCTGAGAAGAACAGAGTAAAACCAAAGAGGGCTAAGGGCATGGAAGGGAACATGAGGAGATGGTGGCTGTTCCCAGCATTTCCATAGCTGGGTTTTGTGTGTGTGTGGTGTTGCACAAGTAACTCAAATCCTCATTAAACAAAATTGTGACCCACACATTATTAGTTCTCTTTCAAAGGAATGGGAGTTGGAATGACAATGTTAAATCTTACGTGCTTTCTGAAACATTGCCTAATACTCAAGAGATGTTGAAAACTCAAACCTTCTTAAAATCTTTATTTGTATTTTTATCTTTATATAATATGAAGAAAAGCAAGAGGTCAGGAGCTGTTTTCTGGACCTCAGAGCATGTGGAGTGGCATGTCTGGTCCTTACAGCTAGCCCATGGACAGACAGGCATGTCCTCAGCCACAGGAAGGCTCCCCGGTCTGTTCTAGCACGTGGATTTGCTGCACATTATATGGGACAGTGGATAAGTGTATGTAAGAGATTCTCAAAGATCATTATCATAATGTGATAATGCTCTGACTTCCTCATCCTATCCAAGTAACACAATTGCCTAGACTTTTGCCAATGCTCTATTATTAAGTTGATTCTTTCTTGCATTTCAGCAAGAGAGAAAAATGAAGCAAGTACCAAGCTGTAAATGATGACAAGCAACGACAATTAACCCCTCTCTCACTGCTTTAACCAGCATGTTATTCTGCCTTAGTATTTTACTGTTTTCTTGGAGTTCAGAAGGATTCACAGCAAGCAGGGTGGCTCCGACATGCTGCTCCGTTTCAGGTGTGTTCAGCCCTTTCATCTCGGAGTTTCCCGCTGCTTGTTCTGGTTGTGGCCAAAGGCAGGGGGGAGAGGAAATCCGTCTGTATGTACATGTGAAGCAAATCCTGGAGTAAAACAGTGCCAGCAGTCCCATGGGGGTCTGGAGACACAGCAGAGTTTGTTCTCAGTTCGCCAGCAGAAGGCACAGAGAGCAGACATGGATAGCAAGACCGTAATCTCCCTCCTCCTCCTTCTCTCTTTTATGGGCAACTTTTCTGGTAAGAAAATTCAATTTATTTTCCTTTGTATTAGACTTCTTCTGCAATATGGATTAGCTAAACAGAATGTTTTCAAGGTGTGGAGGATTTCCATACTTGCACTGTCTTTGAGGCAGCAGGTCAAGAAAAACACACTCGTGGACTGTCAGAGGGGGCCTATTTCTTGTATCCTACTACTCTTCTGCCAGTGGAGATTCACTGACATTGGTGAATTTGTCCCTTAAATATTCTGAGAAAAATGAGATTACAACCAGGGCCTGAGAAGTGATATCCTGTTATAACTTGTGGCATATTGCACCACTTTCACTTTCCATACTGCTTTTACAGCCCTGAGATGAAAGCTTGGAATATTCAGCTTAGTTTCAGTCAATCTATTTCTAATCTACAGCCATCTGTTAGAGCTCTCCACTAAGAAGCAGGACGGTAAAAAATAAACAAATTCTGCTGGGAAAGTCCAACACATATTTTATGGGCAGAAAGTATGCCAAGTTTAGGGGTCTGGAATGCTTCCAAGCCTCAGCACCATTTAGATGCTTGCTCCTACTGCGTCCTGGCTTCACCTCAGGATGACACACGTCTGCAGTCTCTCCTGAGCCAGAACATCTGATGTCCTCCAGGCTGGACAACTGGCCAACAGGACATCATACCATTGCACACATCTGCACTGAAGCCCTGGCACAGCCTTTGGGACTCTCCTTTTCTTCTCTTCAGCCTGCAGATGGGATATTGCTGCTCTGCTGTGATGCTCTGTGCTTCCCAATGCCTGACTTTCAAAGTCCCTTTATTTGTGCTTTTGGTCAGGTAGGTAGGGAGGTGTCTGTCAACCAAAAGAAGCACCAGCAGATTCAGCTGGGCAGAAGGTCAGTGAAGAAGGGAAATAGGTGGATGATCATATCAAGGTACATGAACTAGCACAGGGTGAGATAAAGGGGTTTGCTGTTTGGTCTTAAGGGATGTCAAGAGAGGACTGGGATTTCAGCTCCTGCGGCCCTACTCATCTCAGAGGGTCTGTGTGCCCCACATCCATTCACCTGGAGCTTGTCTTTGCTGCTGCTTCATACTGCCCTCAAAGCACTGAAACTCCTCTTTTAAATATATTCCACATCTCAACTGTCAGGAATTTCAAGCTGAAGATATAATGATTTTTCCTTAGTAGGAAAAATGGACAAATGGGAGAGTTGTGATTGTGCTTTTTAACTGTGATACCTGAGATACTTCCTGAGAACAGGAAGATATCCCAGTGTCTGCAGTGGGTGGAGCTGGGAAAGCCCTGGGCTTCATGGCTTGTGATTTTGGATAACTTCTGTCACCGCACCGGTACTCTGTGCTCAATCCATAAAGCTGGGATAACATTATTTGCTTCACTAGGGCAACATGGGTCTGGAAGGAGCCAGGGACTTGGTTGCTATACAATGTGTGGCACAATTTGATCATAGTCCGTCCCAAAGCCTGTTGGGTTTCTTGCTCCCAGAACTTACCCAGAGTTGCTTCCTCAGAGGCCCTCATAGATACCTTTTCTAGCATCTTGATTAGGCTTCTAAGCTGAATATTTTCATGGCTTTTTCACATCAGGTACAAGTGTAGAATTTTAGTCCAAACAGGTTTCCCTTCCAGGCTGTATCCATGGGGAGCTGCCATCCACCTCTTCAGGTAGTCTTTTCTTCCTCTCATAAGAGATGAGCCCCACGTTTCCAGCAGCCTTTCATTGCACTTGATGTTGTGGGATGCCAAAATAATTGTATTAGTAATAGGCACTTATAAATTGTTACCTGTACAAAGCCTGCAGCCCTCAAAAGCCTTGTCTTTGCTCAGTGAACGTACTACCTTAAGCCCATAAATAGTAATTCATCTATACCTTGAGGCATGAACTTTTTATCCCTTCTGTTTTCTGTAATTGACATTTTCATTGTTAGTCTGGTTCAGTTGCAGACATTATAAGCTTCCCTTTCCTTTCCTGGCAGAGCTGCTGCTGGCAGCGGAGCTGCGGTGTCACTGCATCCAGACTGCCACTGGAATAATGCTGCCAAAGCACCTGGCCAACGTCGAGATCATTCCCAAGGGCCCGCACTGCAACACCCTGGAAATCATGTAAGTAAAGTCAGCAGCAAGAGAAGCTAGAGCTTACAAGTGCTGAAGAGTTGGCTGCCCTTAAGCTTGCAATCCTCAGCCTCGTCTGCACCCTCCTCTGACCCCCCCAGGTGCCAATATTAACTCAGGTGAAATGTTCATTCCACTGCAGAGCAACACTGAAGAACAGCCAGCAAATCTGCTTAGATCCCCAGGCTAAATGGGTGAAGATGGTAATTAACAGGATTCTACAAAGGTAACTGCCAGGATTACCTACTAACGGATATTATTCCACCAACGGGCATATTTTCTCCAATATAAACATCAATGTGTGTACAATCTTCAGCACTCTTCCCTGAGACCCATTTGAGTAGCACAGGGGTAGGAATACAGGAGGACTAGATTTAGTTGATCTTTGGACAAGGCAGAAGCAAGGTCTACCTGACATATCTCAGTGATCTAAAATGAACAATCAATCTGTCATGTGTCATACTTTTCAATCGAGTATATTGATCCAGGGCTCCTTGGGGTTGTGTTCAGCTCTGCATTGCCAAGGGCAGTGTTTGGGCTTGCTGGAGGACCTGTCTTGGAGGCAACAGAGAAGTGTTGTTTAGCACTGCCCTGTGCCAGCTGTGTGCCCAAGAGACAGGACGGTCCTTAGCCCAAGCTTCTCCGGTGTCTGTGGGTGGGTGTATCTCCTCAGAGATAAATTACACACAATAGCATTCCGGGCAAACTTATTCTAGAGTACTTTCAAGTGACTTCAAGTGACTAGTGCAAATTAAACAAACATTCAACTGAAAAAGAAACAGAAAATAATTCTTTTACTTTCCAGTAAAAGCGAATCTGTTTTTGTCTGGTTTTGATGGTTGTAAATTAATCTCACTCCTTTGTGCGTGCTGTAATTCATTACCATATCCGTGTTACAGTTCATCCCAGAAACGGCGTCAGTGAAGGAACCAGAGGCCTCCCAGCAAGCACGAGAAAGCCAGAGAGAAAAGCCTTAGCCTTTAAGCATCTCCAGGGTCAGGAGATAGGAAATTATTCATAATTTCACTCTATTTTTTTTTGTATTCTCACTGCTCTTGGTGCACAGATTGTTCATCTGCAAAAGGAAACTGCTGGGCTCAACAGGCTGCCATACCACCTGCAGACTCTTGTATTTTATGGCAAAATTTTACATGGTTCTTAACTGCAGAGGCTTTTGAAGCAATATCCTAACCCAACCCTAGACTTGGGGGGTCAGCTGGAAACACCCTCACAGGTTCAGCATTCCCTGAGCTGGGAGTTAGCTACACCACAGCATCTCCCAGCTTCATTATCAACCATTATGAAGTACAGTTTTGTCTAGTTTAAGAGGGCTGTGGTTTTCAAAGCAAAGAAATATTAACCAGAGGAGATTCTTACTGAAAGGGAAAAAAAACCCCAAACAATTAAAACGGAAAAGAAGAGGGAAAAAGCAATTCCCTGACATCAATAAAAACTTTGCTTAGAGGTAATATGGTCAATGAAGTGAAGCAAATGCTGTAAGATTTCAGTGTTTAAAAACTGGTTTTTTGGTCTTATGCATATTAAATATACCTCTAACCTTAAAACAGCGGACTTATAGTAATTCTGGTTTTGTCACCAAGCTATCAACGGCACAAGGCCTCTTCCATAAAAAAGGTTTTTAGAAGCCATCAATTCAACTTTTTGTAAATGAAATGTGAAGAAAATGTGTGTGAAATATCTTTAATGTTTTCAAACACGCTCAGAGTTTTGCTGCCTGCAAACTGTTTATTCACAGTGCACCAGGGGCTGCAAAGTAAATAAAAATTTACAATAAGTACAAGACTGTCGGTAATGTTCTGCATTGCTATGTCTGTTTTAACAAGAAAATAAATCAGTAATTGGTTTTGCTAAAACACATTTCCTTTTTCCTGTAAATAACATATTTGAATACTATCTTGTTTTCAAAACGAAAAGTGCTCATTCCTTATCTGAAGACAGGCACATTTTTGGTTCTTATGTACACAAAGGATCACGACATCATCATCGATACTAACACTGTACCTCTCCAAACCACTTGAGAGACAATGTCTCAGCTGTGTAGCATGAGAGGCTATTTAAGGCTATCAGACTACTAAGTAAACCAAAGAACAAACCAAATGAAACCAAAAGCAAACCAGACTTTCCTTTAAGACCTTACACTTACAGAAAACTGAAAAAGTAAGTATTTTCTGCAAGAAGAATTTTCTTCCAACTATATTGCAAAATATGCTGGTCTAGCCAATTAATTAAAACCAAAACTATTGATCTTTTAATCAGTATATTTCTTTCAGTTTTAGCTGAAATAAGGTCACTTTTTTGACCAGTTTATTTGACCAAAAGTACACTCATGCCAAGTCGGTACTGGGAGCACATATGCACACTGCAGTAAGGAGCTGATAATGAAAAATGTCTGACAAATGCAGTTTATGCTAAACCCAAACCTGCTACCTCAGGTTCAGTTCTGTCTCTGCAGCCAGCCAGTGACTGCATTGATGCGGAGGATTAATACAATGGAAATACAATGCAGAGGCACAGCAGATGAATCTAAGCCTCCCAAGCCTCTAGGAAACAAAATGTACCTGTTAGCCAAATGTCACTGCCCCTCCCTGGGGCAGCACCTTTGAAAAGATTTATGGTTCTTGCCCTCACATCTGCCATTGCAAAAAATCTTGCAGAAAATTTATTCCTCAAATACTTGTGAAGATCTTCTAACTTCCAATCTACCTTTGCCCAGAGTTAATAAAACTCTCTCGATGTCTTTCCACTGCAATCCCCCCCGCATACATCAGTCTTTCCTTCCTTTCCCAATAATGTATCTGTAAAAAGCCCCTATAGTCTTTTTCAATCCCTTCTATCTCTTTGCAGAATATAAATAGTCTTCCAATCACTCTCAGTTCTTCTCTTTGATTCAAGCTAATCTTTCTCAAACACTGATAACAATCTTTCAGGTCAAATACTCAGCTTGTAATGAAATGATGCTGCCTAATTTTAACAAAACAGATTACTATGGTTGCTTGCACAGCAGTTTAATTGCACTGTAGACAATCATCTAGACATAAGAGCAGATTTCAGCAAAAGCAGTACTGATGGCCCTTTTATCATCAGGCAGAGATCTTACTACAAATGAGAAAAGGCACAAGCCAAAGCACAGAAACAGTTTTGAAGTATCCAGGTTCCAAAGGAGATGGGAGGTGGTCCAGCTAACCATGGGAGGAGGAAGGACGTCTGTACAGTAGAATGAGACAGATAAATTTCAGAGGAAAACGACAGTGATAGTATGAGTTATAGGATGAGAAACAAGTAAGCAGAATAAATCATTTCAGCCTGCAAAAGAGATCACAGAGGGAACGTGACAAAATTCTGTAATGCTGCAAATGGCATGCATAAGGAGAACAAGGAATGACCGGTCCCTGATTCCAATACAAAAGAAAAAACAGGACAAAAAATGAAGGTAGCAGCTGGCAGGTTCAGCAGAACCTTAAGGAACTTGTGTTCTTCTTGAACAAATAGTTACGCTGTGGGTGTCTTTGCTACACCTATTTGTGAATATTAAATGTTTTGGAGATTCAGGCAGTGAGTAGCCAAATTAATGAGGGAAGATCCTGTAAGTCCTATTCAACACAAAGATGCTGTCTTTGGCTCAAGAAGTTCCTTAACTTCAAATTCTCAGCATCTGGAAAACCATAGAGGAAAAATAATAGTTTAAAGTACTTTTATATGTTTTCCCTATGCTTTCCCAAGCATTCTTTATTGGTCCCTGTGAGTACCAAGCTACTGTTGTAGACAAACCTGTAATGAGATGTGACACTGCTGTCCTTGAGCCCTTTTGTCCTAAGGCCCTGAAATGTCATGGGAGTTTCCAGGATGCAAAACAAGGCCTCTGTTGGCTTGCGGTTTGTGAGCACTTGAAGAAATACACACCAAATGAAACTGAAGGAGACAATACAACACAGCAGGTTGTTTCACAAAGTATGCTGAGTCAATCCCCCGATCCTCACGTTGCTGATTTCATATCCCCAGCTGACCATAGGAATAGCAATGTCAGCATGAAAAAAAGGAAACGATAATTTCCACTGTGGAAGCAGGATTTAGAAACTTCACAGCATGATGAGGAAGAGTAACTATAGTCTTGGATTACACCATTATCACATACCAGGACCATGCTAGAACTGGTGCATAAATTCTGCTTGAATTAATCATGTCTTGTAAACTATGGAAAACATACCATTTCAGAAACTTCTTCCACTGATTTGAATTGGGCTTCCCTGTTCCTGAAACCACCACCCAATGTAATATGATTTCTCTGATTAACACATGCATTTATTAGTGTTGATTTATCAGTGAGTGAGGACTCGATACTTGGTGCCCTGTTGCTTTGTTCTCTGTCCCTGGGAGTCAGTGAGGAGGACTTTACCCCTGGCAGTTCTGTTGCACTTGCCGTAGCAGCATCACTGTGATTTCCCAAAGTGATCAAATGGCAACTGCAATAAAAAATTGCTCATCATTATGAATTCCAACATGGGATAGCAGTGCTATATTCAGTCTTTCTTGAGAGAATTTGCCCATTTTGCACGAGTTTCTGTTCAATTTTACCCTCTCACGAAGCATTTTCTTGATCCAGGGTTACAAAAATCCAATGACAAATAGGAAACATGTTGTCCGCACCATCTCAGTGCATCTTTTCCATCTGCACACTCTGAGTAATGTCATAATGTTGTCATCGAGCTGAAACCACCAAAAAACAAGGCCAAGTTCTGAGGCAATATTGGTGCTGAGTACATCAGTGTGATGAATGAAAACAATTAGCCACAGCTCCTCGGACACTTGCTAACACAGGCACGACATGGTGCCAGAATGAAAACGTACATTACACCACAGGGCCAACGGGGCTGTTAAGAGCCTGAAATACAGCGTCATCTGTGTATTGCCACAACTTTTATACAGGGAGGTAGCCACAGAGTCTGAATTCTGCACTTCTTGTCCTAGCACTCTTCTTCTTGCTCCTAATGCCAAGTTTTCGTAAGACTGGCCACCACCACACTGAGTGCTGCAGTGAGTGCATAGCACCGGGCTGAGATCACCTTCAGACCCAACCAGCTGAAATGTGCTTTGTAAAGCCACAGTTAGGATGCTGCTTCCTCATCGGTGTTGCACTCTGTGCCATCTTTGGGTAGCTTGAGGTTTTAACAAGGTGAGCTGCTGTATGGTTCTTTCTCAGTGAATTATAAGAGAAATTGTTCTATGAAAACCAAGAGTAAGTGGTCACCAGAAGACTTCTGCATTCGAAGGCTGTGTGGTCTTTGCAATGGTTGTGAGCTATCTGCGAAGGAAGCCTTCTGAAATGGATCCAGTTAATGAGAATGAAAGCACTGGTAATTCTGCATTAAAAACCTTTGTGGAAGTCTTGAGACCAAAACCCCAACAAAGTTAATTGTAGCCTTCTTACCTCCTTCCACAGGCTTCACATGAGGCTGCTAATTCTAGGGTGCTCTTCTTCCCAGCTATGTGTTACTTCCCAGCTCAGATAATACAGTTCCACAGAAAGATCTGGTATGAAGAGCTGAACAGGAAATTACTGAGAAAAACTGAGCCCAATGGGAAAGCAGTTGGACAAGTCCAGAGCAAAAGGAAGAGAAAGAAGGACAAGGAAACAAAAAGGAAATCTGGAAAATAATGAAATAGTAAAGATTCCTTGGAGGGCGTGGAATCTTCCTGCTCCTGTCTGCACTGGCCTGATTCATTACAGCCTTCATCTTGGCACTCTAAAATATTACCCATGTCATCATATGTCAGAAGGAAACGTGCCATTCTGTTGCCAGATGTAGGAAATTATGTGGGAAATACTGATTCATCCCAAGGAAAACAGTATCTCCATAAAAATTAACCTGTTGAGGCTTGTGGCACACCAAATAAAAATAGCCTGCTTTCAGTATTAAATTAAAATGGTGAATATGCATGTAATTCTTCAGTCATGTGACGAGTCAAAATCAGAAGAGAAAGATTTTTTTAGCTATTTTGAATATCAAAATATCAAATTTTTTTTATATTTTCAAATATCAAAGCCATCAGCATTTGGGGTTTGAAATGGCCACATTCATTCTGAGCCAAAAGGGAGCAGGTGTCCATTGGCCAGCAAGACAAGAGTTATTGGTAATGATAATATCTTTATTAGAGTTATTGGTAATGATAATGGCATTATTAGACCAAATACTTTATGTGGGAGAAATAAGTATATGAACCACAAAGCCTTCATCAGGGCACTTTTGTATTTCCTTATATAGTGAAAATATAGTGGATATTTGTATTTTTTTTGGCAGAAAGCTCAGGATGTACTTCAAGAACAACACTCAAATCACTGTGTACTGCAGGGCACAGCTCACTCTGTCACATTAGTACAACGACGG